TCTAGACCCTTTATCAGAAATGGGGGAGGGGAAGGGGGTTCTGAAATAAATAGAGAGAGGGGGGAGGTGGATAGAAGATGGATAGAGGAGAAGATAGGTGGAGAGGAAACAGACAGATCAAAGAGGCAGGGATGGAGCCAGTAAAGGTGAGTGTAGGTGGGGAGACTTATCTGCTTTCCGGAGGGACCACTCTCTCCGTGACTCCCTGGTCCGTTCCACACTCCCCTCCAGCCCCACCACACCCGGCACTTTTCCCTGCAACCGCAGGAAGTGCTACACCTGCCCCCATACCTCCTCCCTCACCCCCATCCCAGGCCCCAAGAAGACTTTCCACATCAAGCAGATGTTCACCTGCACATCTGCTAATGTGGTATACTGCATCCGCTGCACCCGTTGCGGCCTCCTCTATGTCGGGGAAACCAAGCGGATGCTTTGGGACCGCTTTGCAGAACACCTATGCTCGGTTCGCAGTAAACAACTGCACCTCCCAGTCGCGAACCATTTCAACTCCCCCTCCCATTCCTCAGACGACATGTCCATCCTGGGCCTCCTGCAGTGCCACAACGATGCCACCCGAAGGTTGCAGGAACAGCAACTCATATTCCGCTTGGGAACCCTGCAGCCCAATGGTATCAATGTGGATTTCACAAGCTTCAAAATCTTCCCTCCCCCTACCGCATCCCAAAATCAGCCCAGCTCGTCCTCGCCTCCCTAACCTGTTCTTCCTCCCAACTATCCCCTCCTCCCACCTCAAGCCACACCCCCATTTCCTACCTACTAACCTCATCCCGCCCCCTTGACCTGTCCGTCCTCCCTGGACTGACCTATCTCCTCCCTACCTCCCCACCTACACTCACCTTTACTGGCTCCATCCCCGCCACTTTGACCTGTCTGTTTCCTCTCCACCTATCTTCTCCTCTATCCATCTTCTATCCGCCTCCCCCTCTCTCCCTATTTATTTCAGAACCCCCTTCCCCTCCCCCATTTCTGAAGAAGGGTCTAGGCCTGAAACGTCAGCCTTACTGCTCCTATGATGCTGCTTGGCCTGCTGTGTTCATCCAGCTCTGCACCTTGTTGTCTCAGATTTTCCAGCATCTGCAGTTCCTACTATCTCTGATATTATTTTACTGCTGTTTGCAGACGCTTGGTTCCATTATAATAGTGACTTCAAAACACAGGTCATTAGCTGTAAAACACTGGGGTGTTGAAGACATTAAATTCTCTGATAGTCAAGGGTACTGTGACCAAAATAAGTCAGCACAATTTGTAAGTGTGTGGGCACTACTTGCAAGGCCAACAATTATTTTCCATCCTTAGTTCACTTTGTAGAGATGATGAACCTTCTTCCTGAACCATTACACACTCTGTAGTTTTCCACGGAAGTTATTCAGTCCATTCAGTTTTCAGACCCCGCTAGTGCCTCGAATGCAAGTAAATATAGAATGTATGTGTAAAAGATGTTTTTGGTTTGTTTGGATGGAGTCAAAGTCCAATTTTTTTTGTTTCCTTGATATGCTACTGTAAGAACCGAACTGCATTTATATGAACTGAACTGCACTGTATATATACAAAGATTTTTTTTTATGTATAAAGCATACTTTTCAAATGAAGATCAGGGCCAGGGTTGGGAGAGTGTGCTGTCACTATTCTGTGTGGGGTGGAATTCCAGGATGTTTACAGAGTATTAGTGAATGAATTGGTAATGTACGCCCAAGTTGGAATCACATATGTGACTTTCATGGGAACTTGGAAGTGATGGTATTTCCTTGTTATTCTACGTTAGTGGAAGTGACAGGTTTGGGAGGAGTTCCTGAGCAAAGTTTAATGAGTTGCAGCATTAAACTGATGTAAATCAAATCAAGAAACATCAACTATGTGCTTTGTAATAAGAAATGACACAAAGCTCCCTTAACCCACCTCCCCAGCTCAGAAAATGAGAAAGTCATAGAATCTGTACAGTGTGGAAGCAGGCCATTCAGCCCATTAAGTCCACACTGACACTCCAAAGAGCATCCCACCCAGACCCAACCCCTACCCTATCTCTGCATTTACTATCTTAGACATAATGGACAATTTAGCATAGCCAATCCACCTGACCTGCACATCTATGAACTGTGGGAAGAAACCAGAGCAAACCCATACAGATACAGGGACAATGTGCAAACTCCGCTCAGACAGTCGCCCGAGGCTGGAATCAAACCTGGGTCCCTGGTGCTGTGAGGCAACAGTGCTAATCACTGAGCCACTGTCAAAACTGGGCAAAGTTAGAGATGTGCTTTAGCGATACTTTAGCGATGGAAAGGGATCGGTATATAACGCAGGGCAAGAGTTATAGCTGGGGGAAAGGCAATTATGAGGCGATGAGGCAAGATTTAGGATGCATAGGATGGAGAAGGAAACTGCAGGGGCTGGGCACAATTGAAATGTGGAGCTTGTTCAAGGAACAGCTACTGCGTGTCCTTGAGAAGTATGTACCTGTCAGGCAGGGAGGAAGTGGTCGAGCGAGGGAACCGTGGTTTACTAAAGAAGTTGAATCTCTTGTCAAGAGGAAGAAGGAGGCTTATGTAGAGATGAGGCGTGAAGGCTCAGTTAGGGCGCTTGAGAGTTACATGTTAAACAGGAAGGACCTAAAGAGAGAACTAAGAAGAGCCAGGAAGGGACATGAGAAGTCTTTAGCAGGTAGGATCAAGGAAAACCCTAAAGCTTTCTATAGGTATGTCAGGAATAAAAGAATGACGAGAGTAAGATTGGGGCCGGTCAAGGACAGTAGTGGGAAGTTGTGCGTGGAGTCCGAAGACATAGGAGAGGTGCTAAATGAATATTTTTCGTCAGTATTCACACAGGAAAAAGACAATGTAGTCGAGGAGAATACTGAGATACAGTCTATTAGACTAGACGGGATTGAGGTTCATAAGGAGGAGGTGTTAGCAATTCTGGAAGGTGTGAAAATAGATAAGTCCCCTGGGCCGGATGGGATTTATCCTAGGATTCTCTGGGAAGCTAGAGAGGAGATTGCAGAGCCTTTGGCTTTGATCTTTATGTCGTCATTGTCTTCAGGAATAGTGCCAGAAGACTGGAGACTAGCAAATGTTGTCCCCTTGTTCAAGAAGGGGAGTAGAGACAACCCTGGTAATTATAGACCAGTGAGCCTTACTTCGGTTGTGGGTAAAGTGTTGGAAAGGATTATAAGAGATAGGATTTATAATCATCTAGAAAGGAATAATTTGATTAGGGATAGCCAACACGGTTTTGTGAAGGGTAGGTCATGCCTCACAAACCTTATTGAGTTCTTTGAGAAGATGACCAAACAGGTGGATGAGGGTAAAGCGGTTGATGTGGTGTATTTGGATTTCAGTAAAGCGTTTGATAAGGTTCCCCATGGTAGGCTATTGCAGAAAATACGGAGGCATGGGATTGAGGGTGATTTAGCAGTTTGGATCAGAAATTGGCTAGCTGTAAGAAGACAGAGGGTGGTGGTTGATGGGAACTGCTGATCCTGGAGTTCAGTTACTACTGGTGTACCTCAAGGATTTGTTTTGGGGCTACTGCTGTTTGTCATTTTTATAAATGACCTGGATGAGGGCGTAGAAGGATGGGTTAGTAAATTTGCGGATGACACCAAAGTTGGTGGAGTTGTGGATAGTGCGGAAGGATGTTGCAGGTTACAGAGGGACATAGATAAGCTGCAGAGCTGGGCTGAGAGGTGGCAAATGGAATTTAATGCAGAAAAGTGTGAGGTGATTCACTTTGGAAGGAGTAACAGGAATACAGAGTACTGGGCTAATGGTAAGATTCTTGGTAGTGTGGATGAGCAGAAAAATCTCGGTGTCCATGTGCATAGATCACTGAAAGTTGCCACCCAGGTTGAGAGCGTTGTTAAGAAGGTGTACAGTATGTTAGGTTTTACTGGTGGAGGGATTGAGTTTCGGAGCCATGAGGTCATGTTGCAGCTGTACAAAACTCTGGTGCGGCCGCACTTGGAGTATTGCGTACAGTTCTGGTCACCGCATTATAGGAAGGATGTGGAAGCATTGGAAAGGGTGCAGAGGAGATTTACCAGAATGTTGCCTGGTATGGAGGGAAGGTCTTATGAGGAAAGGCTGAGGGTCTTGAGGCTGTTTTCGTTAGAGAGAAGAAGGTTAAGAAGTGACTTGATAGAGACATACAAGATGATCAGAGGATTAGATAGGGTGGACAATGGGAGCCTTTTTCCTCGGATGGTGATGGCTAGCACGAGGGGACATAGCTTTAAATTGAGGGGTGATAGATATAGGACAGATGTCAGAGGTAGGTTCTCTACTCAGAGAGTAGTAAGGGCGTGGAATACCCTGCCTGCAAAAATAGTAGACTCGCCCACTTTAAGGGCATTTAAATGGTCATTGGATAAACATATGGATGATAATGGAATAGTTTAGGTTAGATGGGCTTCAGATTGGTTTCACAGGTCGGCGCAACATCGAGGGCCGAAGGGCCTGTACTGTGCTGTAATGTTCTATGTTCTATGTTCTATGTTCTGTGTGCAGGCATTGAGTAAATACAAAGGTTATGAAAAGAGGAGGGGGAGAAAGGACAAAAGGGAGATTTGATAGGAAAGAGGGAGGGCTGAAAGAGATTTAAAGTGATTTTCAAAAGAAGCAAATGTGAGGTGAGGAAAGACTTTTCACACAAGTGGTGAGGGTCTAGAATGCATTGCCTCGAAATGTGGTGGAGATAGGTTCAATTGAGAAATTCAAGAATGAATGGTAATTTAATTAGAAACAAAGTGCAAAGGCATAGGAGAAAGGCAGGAGAATGACACAAAATCATGATGCTCATTTGGAGTGCCAAAGCAGATACAATCGTCTGAATGACCTCCTTCTCCACCATAAAAATTCTACGATTTTCTGAAGAGGATGATGCAAAATGATATAGTAATGGAACTGATAAGCCAAAAGTAGATGGTTCTGGAGGAGGTGTGAGTGAAAAGAAAATAAGCAACATGGCTTTCTAATTCTTTGCAGATTATTGAGAAACATTATGCTCACATCCTCAACATTGACCAGAATGAGACAATGGCTGGCAATCTCACGCAATCACCCAACCCAGTCAAAGATCGCAGAATCATCATTTATTGGACTCTATCTGTCTCCATCTTCTGTATCGGTGGAATGTTTTCCTCATTTTTTGTTGGATGTCTAGCAGACAGGCTGGGCAGGTATGTATTTTGATCAAGTCACCATTGGAACTGAGAATATCTAGCCAATTTTCAACTGAACAGGATGAACTATAATTTTTACCGTCTTCCTTAAATTCCCCACTCTCCCAGAGATGGCAACACCCAAAATGATGTCATATTTTCAAAACAAATATTAAATTTAGCTTAAGTGTATATGAGTGAGAGAAGGGATGAAATAGTCTCCTTTTGAGTTCCTCATTATTGAACTCCATTAGAGAATGAGTAGGTCAAATGTTGAGTTTAGCTAGATATTTCTGCAGTTGAATAGCCAACACACATTGCCTTTGTTACTTTGTGAAAAATGTGAGGTTCCTTTTTACTTATTCATTCATGGGATGTGGGCATTGCTGGCTAAGCCAGCATTTATTGCCCAACCTTCAAAACTTAACATCAACTCACAGCAATTTCTTTTCCAACTTGTCCAATTGTGTTGTGTTTTCAAACATTTGGTCCTCTCTAAAGGAATGATTTAATAGAGATATTCAAAATAATTCTTTGTGCTTTGATTGAGTAATTAAGGACAAATTGCTTCCTGTGTCAGGAGGGCCAGTAGCCAGAGGGACACAGACTTAAGCTAATCAGCAAAAGAAAGACAGTGGGAAATTGAGGATTTTTAAAAAAATAAACAGTGTGATCTTGAACACCTACGTGGTCGAAGCAAATTCAATGAAAATGTGTTACGAGGCTTTGGGGATAGAATGGGGAATGGGAACCAATTGGACAGCTTTTCAAGCACAGGCATGGTGGGCCAAATAGCCTCCTGTTGTTGGTTCTATGAAAGCTCTTAGAACTGAACATGCAAAACCAATCTCTTGAACTGGGCTATATTCATCTCTCTGCAAATGGGGTGTTTAAATGGGATGATATTCAGAGAAATAACTTTAACATTTGATTCTTTTTCCAGACTGAAATCTATGTTAGCTATAAATATCCTTGCAATAGTTGGTGCCCTTCTCATGGGATTAGCCAAATTTGGCCCATCGCACATCCTCATCATTGCAGGACGGGCTATCACTGGAATTTACTGTGGTAAAGTATCAATATTATGAATGATTTTTCTTCTGTAACGAGCAACCTTGCTAATATCTGAATGGCCATTGAAAATTTCTTAATAACTTCCAACAGAGTGCCTTTGGGTATAAGGAAAACTTGCTGTGGATCTAGAGGAAGTGTCAAGTCACTCTGGAGTTTTGACATTTTATTATATAACTTTGAGCCCAATCAAGTAACCAATCAAATTTTTGCAGAAATGAAAAGCTTAGGGATTAAACTGTGCCAGACCATTTTGGTTGTGATTGAGAGTTAAGGGGAGATGTTTTTGTCCGTTGATTCCTTGAAAGCCAGCGTGGGCAGATGGAAGTGTAGGAACACAGGAACAGGAGGAGGCCATGTGGCCAATTGAGCTTCACGTGCCATTCCATTAGATCCAGATTGACCATTTACCTCTAATGCATTTTTCTGCACTATTCCTGTATTCCTTGATGTCATTACTATCCAGAAATTTGGATATTGGGGAGTGATGTTGAACAAGGTGACCTTGGCATGCAAGTTCAGAGATCCTTGAAAGTGGAATTGCCGGTAGACAGGATAGTGAAGAAGATGTTTGGTATGCTTGCCTTTATTGATCAGTGCATTGAGTATAGGAGTTGGGATGTCATATTGCGGCTGTACAGGACATTAATTAGGACACTTTTGGAATACTGTGTGTAATTCTGCTCTCTCTGCTATAGGAAAGATGTTGTTAAACTGGAAAGGGTGCAGAAAAGATTTAGAAGGATGTTGCTGGGGTTGGAGGGTTTGAGCTTTAGGGAGAGGCTGAATAGGCTGGGGCTATTTTCCATGGAGCTTCAGAGGCTGAGGGGTGACCTTATAGAGGTTGATAAAATCATGAAGAATATGGGTGAATAGTTGAGGTCATTTTCCCAGAGTGGGTGAGTCCAAAACAAGAGGGCATAGGTTTAAGGTGAGAGGGGCAACTTTTTCACACAGAGGGTGGTGCGTGTATGGAAAGAGCTGCCAGAGGAAGTGGTGGAGGCTGGTATAACTATAACATTTAAAGGTCAACTGGATGAGTATTATAAATAAGAAGGGTTTAGAGGGATATGGGCCAATTGCTGGCAAATGGGACTAGATTAATTTAGGATATCTGGTCAGCATGGATAATTTGGACCGAACGGACTGTTTCTGTGCTGTACCACGCTATGACTCTAAATCTGTTGATTTCTGTCTGCAATATATTTAATACTTTGAGCTTCAACATTTCCTTGGGCTGGAGAATTTCAAAGATTCACCATCCACTGATTGAAAAAAAAAGCCCTCCTTACCGCAGTCTTAAACAACCTACCCCTTATACCGAAACCATGCTCCTTGTTTTTATCCTCACCAGCCAGGAGAGACAACCTATTCACACCTACTGTGTCACACAATTCAACCTGAGCCTTTTGGTAAGAACTGGGATGTATCCTATTCACTGAAACCTCAGATTTTCATTTCTATCCATCAATGGAAATATAACCCAATGAGCAGAGGTTTTGCAAAGCAGGTGTCTAAGATCCTATGCCTGTGTTATATCTTGGCCATTAGATACCTCACTCTGTAGTCAGGAGAGATGGCCAGAAAAAGATTTTATTAAAAAAAGAAATAAGTTTCTCTTAAAGATCCTTTATCAGCCAGTAGATATGCCTGACTGAGACATGCTGTTGGAGCAATGAGCTGACACTTGGATCTTGTTGATATTGGCTTTGGCGCAGATTTCATCATGGGAATTCTTTAACTTTGGGTGCCATTGTTCTTTAAATGCTTCATTAAAAATCAGTCAAGCTGTTTTTCAACTCTTCTAGGGTTGACTTCAGGATTGGTGCCCATGTACATTGGAGAGATCTCACCCACCAGACTGCGAGGGGCCCTGGGCACCATGCACCAATTGGCCATCGTCACGGGTATCCTCCTCAGCCAGGTACAGCACTTCAAGAAGCTTTGTGCTCACTATGGAATTTAAGTCAGAAAAGCAATCATCATCAAGATTGATTAACCAGTTCTCTCAATTCAAACCTTACAACCCATAGTCACCACAGATGAGAAATTGCTTACTGTCAGAAACGATTCATTATAATTTATTTTGCTTTATTTCCTCTGGTGGGGTGGATGTTACTGACAGTGCCCATCCTTTGTTGCCCCTTGAGAAAGCAGTGGTGGAACTGCCTGAAGTGAAGATGCCCTCACATACTGCTACGTATTGAGTTATTGAATAATTACTGACTTGGGCAACACACAAGGAGACCATTCGGCCTGTGCCAATTGCCTCAGAGTTGAATTGATCTGTAAGGGCTAATTTTTGGCATGTTTCTAGAGTGTGGAGGTGCATGGTAGAGTTGAGGTAAAGACTGGTTTGGGTGCGATGTCAGGGCTGAGGGTAGAGTGAATTACCTAACCTATACACAATGACGGATGTATCATATATTCAGTTGCAGCAGGAACATCCCAGTTATCATCGCAGTATTTGTTCACTCAGACAGTGATAGATTGGGTGGTAAAACAATCAGCTGCAGTGTCTTTTGGGACAGTGAATGGGCAAATCAGCTGGTGTTAATCCAGGGGAGTTCAGGGCTCATAATTATCTGCAACCAGCCTCACAAGAAATAACAGATGATCTGGTCATGATCACCTTCCAATTTGTGGGGAAATTGCTGTGTACGAATTGGCAAATTATTTTTTCCTAAATGATTACGTTGACTAAACTTTAAAATATATTATTAGGAATGTGCTAACAAGGCAGGTAGAAAATCATAAGATGCATAATAAGCAGTCAATGTGGATTTGTGGAGGGATTTGAACATTTTTAAACGATATTAGCATTTCTTCATCCTTTTGTGAAGGGATGCCACTGGCAAAACCAACTTTTGTTGATTTTGATTAGTGAGGCTTTTTGAGTATAAATTATTAGCCCCAAATACTGGGGAGAACTCTCCTGGATTAGCATTTGGATTTCTGGCTGTCCTTTCACTATCGCAAATGATGCTGTGACTGATTGTCTTAGCTCCCAATTTACCAAGGGCTGAATAAACAGAGTGCTGGGATGGAACAGGGGCATTCCTCCTTTGACTGAATAAGTATGGCTAAGATAAGAGGATCATAAATTTATTTTATTTACTTGATGGATGTAGGTATTGTTAGCTGATGCTGCCTGGCCTGCTGTGTTCCTCCAGCTCCACACTGTGTTATCTCTGACACCAACATCGGCAGTTCTTATTATCTTTTACAATGAGTGCCAGGTTACTTACTTCCAAATAGCATTTATTGCCCATCCCTGATTTTTAGAAATTTCTGCCCCAGAGAGCTGTGGTTATGCTCAAATATTGAGTCGTTCAAGACAAAGATCAATGCTAATGATCAATATTGGTTGTTAAGGAATACAGGGATAATGAGGGAAGGTGAGGTGGTAGATCGGCCATAATCTTGTTGAATCGTGGAGCAGGTTCAAGAGGCCAAATTTCTGAAGAAGGGTCCTGACCCGAAACATCAACTTTCCTGCTCCTCTGATGCTGCCTGGCCTGCTGTGTTCCTCCAGCTCCACATTGTGTTACCTCTGATCCAGCATCTGCAGTTCTTACTGTCTCTTACAATGAGTGCCAGGCTACTTATTTTCAAACAGTGTAGCAATTCCAAAACAATCCTTGATTTTCAGAACAGTTCTTTTCCCATGTCAGTCCACAATCAAAAATTCAGGGAATTAAAAAGAGAAAGGCAACATTTACAAAAGCACAACAGCAATTAAAGTGAATTTCATTATGTTCCATCCTTTTAGGTGTTTGGCTTGACGTTCCTGCTAGGTAACGATCGGTTGTGGCCTGCAATTCTTGGCCTCTCAGGTGTGCCAGCCTTTCTACAGACCATCCTGCTGCCCTTCTGTCCTGAAAGTCCTCGCTACCTCTACATAAAACTTGGAAAAGAAGAAGCAGCAAGGGAAAGTGAGTGAATGGGAGCGCAGGGTCCTATTGAAGGACTACAGCACTGCCAAGGGTCAGTACTGAGGGAGCGCTGCATGGTCAGAGGGTCAGTACTGAAGGAATGCTGCAGTCAGAGGGTCAGTGCTGAGGCAGAACTGCATAGTCAGTGGGTCGGTACTGGGGGAGTACTGAACTATCAATACATCAGTACTCAGGGAGTTTTGAACTGTTGGAGGGTCAGCCTGAGGGAGCATTGCACTGTCAGATGGTCAGTACTGAGGGATACCTGCACTGTTGGAGGGTCAGTACTGAGGGAGTGCAGCACTGCCAGAGGGTCAGTACTGAGGGAATGCTGCACAGTCGGAGGGTCAGTGCTGAGGGAGTGCTGCACTGTCGGACGGTCAGTACTGAGAGAGTGCTGCACTGTCGGAGGGTTAGTACTGAGGTAGAGCTGCACTGTCGGAGAGTCAGTACTGAGGGATTGCTGCAGGCTCAAAAGGATACTTGCTCCTACTTTCTATGCTTCTATGAGAAAGCATTTGGTTCGGGGTCGTCATCCCTCGTTAAACCCTGGTACGATAATCTCTGTCCTAACGCACAATTTCAGCAATTGTTAGCGAGCCTTTGGTGTCTTGAACAAGGTTTTCCTTTGTTGTAGTTCTTTGCTCAATGTAAATGCATTGAAAAATGTGCTTTGATCATCCTCCTGCTTGTACCGCTGGGAGATGAGGGTCTCCAATGTGATATCCCACTTGGTGGAAGATACTTCAGAAGGCGCTTAATTGGATGAGGACTCAGACCCCAGGCTCCCGTACAGCATCATTAGCATGCACCCTTAGGGGAACCAGAGAAGAGGATGGGGAGGGACAAACTGGTTGGGCCTTGCTCAAGTAGACAAACCTGCTTGAGGCATTGCCTGAACAATCAATCCCTTACAATCTATAATATTCCTCCATAAAAGAGTATTGCTTTAAAACAGTAAATCAGGATTGGTGATGACGTGGATTGAATGAGCGCTTTCAACATAACAGTGTTGATTGCATCACTGTAACAGGATCGTGTTTGTGATTTATCACCAATATATATGACCAGCCAGGCTCTGAGCTCTGATTGGTTGAACACAGTGGTGTGTTACCAGCAGGGCAGAGGTGGGGCAATACATTGTTTAATTTGACATTTAGTTTTAGTCTGTGAGGAAGTATTTGTGTATTTGCATACACACATCTGCCTTTTTAATACTAACAGTACAAAGTGAACTGAATGTTAAAGGTCACTCTTAAGCCTGAAGCTGTGCTGTCCCAAAGGCTCTAGATTTTGCCCTGGGTGAGGGGGAAGGAGTAAGTGATCTGCGTGAGATGACAGAAAGTTCTTTGGATGAAGTTTCAGGTTCCCATCAGATTGTACAGCCTTCGGAGTCAGAAGTCACCACAGTTCTATTCTCTCATTAGAGAGTGATGGCTGTGGTGACTTAACCTGAGAGTCACCATGCCTCACAGGAACGTTTAGGATGGAAAGTCCTTTGTGGTAACTGCAGGAATTGATCATGTGCCTGTGGTGTCGCTCTGCATTGTAAACCAGCTAGCCAACTGAACGAACCAATGACCCAAAACGTCAGCGTTCCTGCTCCTCTGATGCTGCCTGGCCTGCTGTGTTCCTCCAGCTCCACACTGTGTTATTTCTGACTCCAGCATCGGCAGTTCTTACTACCCTCATTAGGGAATCACCACTTTTGGGAAGACAGGGGAAAATGCTGGTGAGCATACCGGTTTGGGCAGGGGAGGGTCAGCAAGTGTTCTTGTACACACAGAAACAATAATCAGGACATCATTCGAACATTTATTCATGGCAATCAAGCCCTGAGAATCTATTAGCACAAAATATTTCTCCACAAAATCTCATAGAAGAATTCCTACAGTGTGGAAACAGGCCCTTCGGCCCAACAAGTTCACACCAACCCTCAGAGCAGCCCAGCCAGACCCATAGTGGTTGTAATCTTTCAATGTTTCAGATTAGTCACCAGCTGTGTTCTCAGCTCAGATTGGCTGAGCACAGGGACTTGTCAAAAGCAGAGCAGAGGTGGGGCGAATGATTGTTTAATTTGGCATTCAGTTTCATTTAGTTGCATGCACAGATGAATTTCTATGTGTCTCTTTATTTCTTTCTGTTTGGGTGCATCTGCTAACTCACAGTTAAAAGAAATAAAAAGGCTTGCACGTAACTTTCAACACATCACAACATCCCAAAGCGTTTTGTATTTGAATAAATAAATACTTTTCAGAGTGTTGTCATTAATGTAGTAAGTGGAGCGACCGGCTTGCGTGATTAGTATTAACCAGTACAGTGAGGATAATGCCGGCACCTCCCTTGCCCAGCCTCAAATAGTAACAGAACTCATTCCAAAAGCAGCACCCCCTCAGTGTAATTAAGGCGAGCAACAGTCTGATAGACTCATCTGAATACTTCTATGACAGTGACCCCTACTTCTCCCAGGGAGAACTGGTTCTATACAGCGGAAGCGTTTTATGAACTCGCACATTATACACGAGAAATGAAACAGATCCTGTAGATGCAAGATTTCCCCTCGATGCTTTTCTAATTGAGAATTTCTAAGCTTATAACTCCGTGACAGAAATGGCAATAAATGAACTAAAATCTGGCGCAGCCTTTGGGCATGTTGGTAACTAATTTTTGATCAACCCAGATGCTGTCACCTGTAACAAACCTTCAATAATAAAATGATGCCACCAGGAATAAAATAATGTTGGGATAATTTTAGGACTGCAGGAAACAATTCGTATAGTTTACATTAATAAAAAGTCATGATAGGAAGTGAAACACACAAACGTTGGATTGCAGCAAAGCAATGGGGTGGATGCATTTCAGTTTTGCCCAAATTCCATTTCAGAATTCCTTGAACTGTTCACCTTTCCTTTTTTCTCTTTAGAAACATTTTAAGTCATTACTTATGTAAAGTAGTTTTAAAATGGACGCAGAACTCTGTAGGAATTTCTTGAGACCCGACTCCTGAGACATTGGAAGACTTGCATTTCTGTAGTGATTTCTACAACCTCGGGATGTCTCAAAATGTTTTATAGCACTTTGAAGTAATACTTTTGAAATGCAGGCACTACTGAATTGTAGGAAACCACAGCAGTTTGCACACAGCAAGCTCCCACAAACACCAGCTTGTTCAGGTTGTGCCTGTTTATTTAAATTAAGGGATAAATATTGACCGAGAGCACAGGAGAGAGATTACCCTGTTGCTCCAAGTTAGGCTTGCTTATGAGCAAAAGGTCATGTGCTTAACTCCCTCACTAGAAAGTGCTGTACCTGTCTTGGGATTGTTTGATAAGAATAGAGGAAAACTGATTAAAATCAAACAAAGAACTGCAGATGCTGAAGATCTGAAACAAAAACAGAAATTGCTGAACTGCAGATCTAGCAGTTTTGAAGAAGGGTCTTTGGACTTGAAATGTTAACTGTACTTCCTCTCCAGAGGTGCTGCCAGACCGGCAAAGTTTCTCCAACAAATTTCTGTTTTGGTTTCAAAGTACCATTCATACTTTGTCACCCTATGCTGTTGCTGCTCTGAGGCCAGCATGGAGGGAGAACTGCTGTATTTATTGGGGCCAATATTTATTGGTTTGCATGCTTGTTCTGCTCTGTGCAATGATTTAATGATCAATTAATTTGTTTGGCCTTCTCAATTTTCCAGGTTTGAAAAGATTACTGCAGATATCTGACACTGACAAATACATTGAAGAGATGAAGAAGGAGAAGGAGAAAATCCAGAAACAGAGGAACGTGTCCATAGCACATTTGTTCTGCTCTTCCAGCTACAGACAGCCCCTTACCATTGCCTTGATGCTACACATAGCCCAGCAATTATCTGGAATTAATGCAGTGAGTGTCAATAATAACAGCTCTGCTGAATTTTTGCTATGAAAGTCAATGCTGAAGTAACAGTTTGGCAATACTGACCTTGAGTATTGCTGAAAAAGTAATCATTTGCTGAAGCTTTTCGTCTTGCACATATTTGGACAATTTATAAGAATGCCAGTGTAAAGGGAAAACCCATATTTATACCATAGAAGAGGAGAGTGCTGATTGGTTGGCAAGTACACTATGATTGGTAGAGATATTGCCATTGAGAATGCAATGTACTGACCTCATTCAGCAGTCTGTATTTGCAAAACCCACAACGGTGTCTAACGTTAGCTTTGTTTCTGCAATTAGACAACATTTGCTGGATAATCCTGAATGTGTGAAGAATTATGCTGCCAATCAATTTAAAATGATCAGTCAGGCTTGCAGCATGGCACACTTGCACATATTAGAAGCTACAAATATTAGTACCCAGGACCCTATTCTTTGCAGTACAGAAGAACATGTATATACAGTTCTCTTGTCCCAACCCAACAAAGTAGGTGACAGCCATTTGCTGGTTCACTTCTCACAACAATGCCTTAACTAACCAGAGGCATCTGCATGGTTTGAAATCGAACACAACTCAATGGTTAACTGTCAGTTATCATTAACTGCTGCATTCTCCAGGGCAACACTTTTACCTTTATCTTGTAATATCCCCAAAAGAACCAGAGGGTGAATGTGGAAGATTTGACATCACTTAGTTAGTTTTTGTGATCTAGAAGGTGTTGCTTGAAAGGGAAGTGAAGGAAGATTCAGCATGCTATGGGAAAAGAGACAGAAAGTTGGGGGCTTTAAAGCGCTAGCATTGACATGGTGGGTTGCATAGCTTTCTCCTGTGTTGTATGTTCCTATGCTTCTTGTCTTATTTCAACCTCCAGTGAGTGAGTCTAATGGAAGTGGGAGGGTTATATTTTGACCTTAATTTCTGAGGTCATGAGATCGTAACCTCAAATCACACTCATCTTCTGGTTCCAGTGGCACCTTCCAAACCTTCAGTTTGATCCAGTATCAGATGTCTATTACTTTTTGTCATAACTCTTTCTTCTCATTCCCTCTAGATATTCTACTATTCCACATCTATTTTCAGACAGGCTGATTTATCACACCCAGTGTACGCTACCATAGGTGTTGGAGTGGTCAACATTATCTTCACTGTGGTTTCAGTAAGTAGTCAGAAAAACATGTTTTTGGTATCTTTTCTGATGTATAAGAGAAAGACATGGATTTCTATAGCCCTGTATTATAATCACAGGATATCACAAAGGATTCCACCATGAGTGAAATATGTGGAGAGTATTCACTGTTGTCACATTTGTGAGGGGAAGTGGTGGTGGGATCAGTTAGCTCAGTTGGTTGAACAGCTGGTTTGCAATGTAGAGCAATGCCAACAGCATAGGTTCAATTTGAGCACTGTCTGAGATTACCGTGAAGGGCTTTTCTTCCCAACCCTTCAGGTTAAACCACCACCAATTGTTTCTCTCTAATAAGAGACTATGGTAACTTTACCTTTACCTTTTTAATGTAATATAGGAAATGTGGCAGCTAGTTTTTGCATAGCAAGATTCCACAGGCAGTAATGAGATAAATTATTAGTTAATCTGTTGTTGGTCGGGGAATAAATATTGACAAGGAGAAACGCGTTTCTCTTTTATCAACCTCTGAAAATTTGATATATTTCTGTGGGATCATCTCTCTTTATTTCAGATTCCAGAGTTTTGTTGTAAGGTAATGATTTTTAAAGGAAAAGTGCATTAAGCTCCACCCAATCTGAGGATGTCATTACTGGTTTGGGTGGGGATAAGGCAAAACATTTTAGGATCTTTTTGAGCACAAATCTACATTCACAGGTCTACTCATAGCCTTAGTAACAAGCATATTCCAATGGCCATAGATTTGTTGGAGAAGCATAGACTGGAATCGTACATCAGGAGCTTGTAGAATCCCAGACACAGCAGGCTCCATCACAGCAGACTCAGATGGAAAATTCCTCTGCATTTCAAAGCCCATTAATGTCAGAGAAATTCATGAACAGCTAACAAAAATAGGTTAGATGATTACTAGCCTACTAACTCCTGAGTAGCTATTATCCTAAACCCTCACATTACAACTCCCTCCTCCCATCCACACTTTCCCTGGACACCCTTAACAACATGGCCACATCTCCAACCAGATTCCCTCAACCAACTACCACCCTGGCATCAACCCCTTCATACACCAGTGTCAATATCCATTGCATTCCCACCAGTCCCTTCATCTCCTATTCATCAACCCTGACAACCCCCCACAAGCTCGGTATTCATCCCCATCTAGGCAGCTCCAACATAACCCATCCCCCACCACTGCCAACCCTGACATAACCACTCTTACCTACCTGAGGCACACCATTATAGAATCATACAGTACAGGAAAGATCTCTTGGCCCATCAAGAGTCTGCACCAACAGGAACTACTCTAAATATACACTAGTCCCACTTGCCATCCAAGGTCTTGAACGTTATGATATTTAAAGTGCTCATTCATGTACCTTTTAAAGGTTGTGAGGTTTCCTGCCTCAACTACCCTCCCAGACAGTGCATTCCAGATTCCCACTACCCTCTGGGTGAAAACATTTTTCCTCAAATCCATACTAAACCTTCTGCCTCTCACCTTAAAATTATGCCCCTTTGTTACTGACCCTTCAACTAAGGGAGTTGTGTGCATACTACCCATCCTGCCTATGTTCCTCATAATCTTAAACACCTCAAATCAGGACCCCTCTCAGCCTTCTCTGCTCTAAAGAAAACAACCTGATCTTATGCAGACTCTGTTCATAGCTAAACTGTTCTGTTGCACACAAGATCCTAGTGAATCTCCTCTTTACCCTCTCCAATACAATCTCTTCCTTCCTATTGTGTGGTGAGCTGTACACAGTACTCCAGCTCTGGCTCCTGACTTCTTTGAGGAAGTGACAAAGTTGATAGATGAGGGAAGGGCTGTAGATGTCATATACATGGACTTCAGTAAGGCGTTTGATAAGGTTCCCCATGGTAGGCTGATGGAGAAAGTGAAGTCGCATGGGGTCCAGGGTGTACTAGTTAGATGGATAGAGAACTGACTGGGCAACAGGAGACAGAGAGTTGTAGTGGAAGGGAGTTTCTCAAACTGGAGAACTGTGATCAGTGGTGTTCCACAGGGATCCGTGTTGGGACCACTGTTATTTGTGATATACATAAATGATCTGGAGGAAGGTATAGATGGTCTGATTAGCAAGTTTGCAGATGACACTAAGATTGGTGGAGTAGCAGATAGTGAAGGGGACTGTCGGAGAATGCTGCAGAATATAGATAGATTGGAGAGTTGGGCGGAGAAATGGCAGATGGAGTTCAATCCAGGCAAATGCGAGGTGATGCATTTTGGAAGATCCAATTCAAGAGCGAACTATACAGTAAATGGAAAAGCCCTGGGGAAAATTGATGCACAGAGAGATCTGGGTGTTCAGGTCCATTGTACCCTGAAGGTGGCAACGCAGGTCGATAGAGTGGTCAAGAAGGCATACGGCATGCTTTCATTCATCGGACGGGGTATTGAATACAAGAGTTGGCAGGTCATGTTACAGTTGTATAGGACTGTGGTTCGACCACATTTGGAATACTGCATACAGTTCTGGTCACCACATTACCAAAAGGATGTGGATGCTTTGGAGAGGGTGCAGAGGAGGTTCACCAGGATGTTGCCTGGTATGGAGGGCGCTAGCTATGAAGAGAGGTTGAGTAGATAAGGATTATTTACATTAGAAAGACGGAGGTTGAGGGGGGACCTGATTGAGGTCGACAAAATCATGAGAGGTATAGACAGGGTGGATAGCAAGAAGCTTTTTCCCAGAGTGGGGGACTCAATTACTAGGGGTCACGATTTCAAGGTGAGAGGGGATAAGTTTAAGGGAGATATGCGTGGAAAGTTCTTTACGCAGAGGGAGGTGGGTTCCTGGAACGCGTTGCCAGCAGAGGTGGTAGAGGCGGGCATGATAGCGTCATTTAAGATGTATCTAGACAGATACATGAATGGGCAGGGAGCAGAGGGATACAGATCCTTGGAAAATAGGCAACAGGTTTAAATAGAGGATCTGGATCGGCGCAGGCTTGGAGGGCCGAAGGGCCTGTTCCTGTGCTGTAATTTTCTTTGTTCGTTGTATGTTCTTTAACCAAGGTTTTGTACAGCTCCAGCATGACCTCCCTGCGCTTATAATCAATGCCACAACAGATGAAGGCACGTGTCCTGTATGACTGCTTAACTACTCTATTACCCTGTCCTGCCACATTCAAGGAACTGTTGATAAGCACCCCAAGATCTCTCTGTTCCTTCTTTTAATGAGTATTCCCTTGTCTTGCTTCTTTTTCCAAACTGTATCACCTCATGCCTATCAGGGTTAAATTCCAACTGCCACTGATCTATCCATCCTACCAATCTGTTTATATCCTCCTGTAATGTAAGACCTTCTTCCACACTGCCATCCATCTGGCCATCTGCAAACTTACATATCATCCTCTTCACATTCTCATCTGCATTGTTAGTATAAATCACGGACAATAAGGGACCCAGCAGTGATCCTGTGTTATGCTAAACACCATCCTCCTATCACACAAGCAGTCTTCTGCCACAAACCTCTGTCTCCTTCCACTAAGCCAATTTTCGAACAAACTTGCCAGGTTATCCATGTGCTTTTATGTTCTTTATCAGTCTCCCATGTGGAACCTTGTCAAAGCTTTTGCTGAAATCCATATAAACTAAATGAAGAGAATTCTTAGGGAAAGAACTTATGCACATTTGGAAAAGCATGACCTAATTAGGGACAGTCAGCATGGCTTAGTGCAGGGCAGATCATGTCTTACCAACTTGATTGAATTTTTTGAGGAGGTGACGAAGGTGATCAATGAGGGTAGAGCAGTGGATGTTGTTTATGTGGATTTTAATAAGGCTTTCGACAAGGTCCCTCATGGTAGGCTCATCAGAACATTAAGATGCACAGGATCCATGGTGACTTGACCTCATGGATTCAGAATTGGCCCGTAGAAGACAGAGGGTATTGGTGGAAAGGTGTTTTTCAGGCTGGAGGTCTGTGACTATTGGTGTTCCGCAGGGATCCACATTGGGACCTCTGCTGTTTGGGATATACATAAATTACTTGGGTGAAAATATAGATGGATGGGTTAGTAAGTTTGCAGATGATACAAAGATCGGTGGAGTTGTGGATAGTGTAGAAGATTGTCAAAGGACGCAGTCGGATATAGAGCAGTTGCAGATATGGGTGGAGAAATGGCAGATGATATTTAATCTAGATAAGTGTGAGGTGCTGCAATTTGGGAGACCAAATGTTAAGGAAAAGCATACAGTTAATAGCAGATGAAGTTAATCCGGGTAAGTGTGAGGTGCTGCACTTTGGGAGATCAAATGTTAGGCAAAAGTATATAGTTAATGGCAAGTCTCTGAACAGCACTGATGTACAGAAAGATCTTGGGGTTCAAGTCCAGAGCTCCCTGAAAGTGGCCATGTAAGTTGATAGGGCGGTAAAGAAGGCGTATGGCATGCTTGCCTTTAATGGTCGGGGAACTGAGTACAAGAGTCAGGATGTCATATTGCAGCTTTATAAGACTTTGGTTAGGCCACACTTAGAGTATTGCATTCAGTTCTGATTGTCACATTACACAAAGGATGAGGAGGCTTTGGAGAGGGTGTAGAAGAGGTTTACCAGGATGTATTAGAGACTCTGAGCTAAAAGAAGAGGCTAGAAAAACTCGGGTTGTTTTCTCTTGAGCGGCGAAGGCTGAGGGGAGACATGATAGAAGTTTATAAAATTATGCATAGATAGGGTTGACAGTCAGAATCCTTTTCCCAGAGTTGAAATATCTAATACTAGGGGACATGCATTTAAGGTGAGAGTGGGAAAATTCAAAGGAAACATGAGGGGCAAGGTTTTTATATAGAGTGGTAGGAGTCTGGAATGCACTGCCAAGGGTGGTGGTGGAGGTAGATACAATAAGGGCATTTAAGGGACTTTCAAATAAGCACATGAATATGCAAGGAATGGAAGGAAATGGACGAAGGGCAGGCACAAGGGATTAGTTTCATTTGGCATGATGTCTGGCACAGCGTTGTGGGCTGAAGGGCCTGTTCCTGTGTTGTACTGTTCTATGTTCTATGTTCTACTTCAACTGCACGACCCTCATCTACACACCTGGTTATCTCCTTGAAAAATTCAATCAAATTTGTTAAGCAAGACCTCCCTCTGACAAAGCCATGCTGACTATCCCTCATCAAACCTTGTCTCTCCGAGTGAAGGTTAATTCTCTTCTACAGAATTTTATCTGGTTGTTTGCCCATCACTGATGGGAGACTCGCTGATCTATAATTCCCCGGTTTATCCCTACCAAACATTTTGAAAAGTGTGGTACTTCAGGGGCAGCAAGGTGACTCATGGGCGGCACAATGGGTCAGTGGTTAGCACTGTTGCCTCACAGTTCCAGGGACCCAAGCTCGATTCCAGCATTGGGCGATTGTCTGTGTGGAGTTTGCACATTCTCCCTGTGTCTGTGTGGGTTTCCTCCGGGTGCTCAGGTTACCTCCCACAGTCCAAAGATGTGCAGGTTAATGGATTGGCCATGCTAAATTAACCTGCAGTGTCCAGGGATGTGCTGGTTAGGTGGATTAGCCATGGGAAATGCAGGGTTACCAGGATAGGGTAAGAGGGGTTGGTCTGAGTGGATGCTACTCAGAGGGTTGGTGTGGACTTGATGGGCCAAATGGCCTCCTTCCACACTTCCATGGTTTTTGAGTGGAGCCACATTAGCTGGTCTCCAGTCCTCTGGTACTTCCCCTGCCACCAGAGAGGAATTAAACATTTGGGGCAGAGCCCTTATAATTTCCTTCCCTATCTCCCACAGCAGCCTGGGACACAACTTATCAGGGCCCAGAGATGTATCCACTATTAAGCTCATTAAATCCTCCAATACCTCTTCACTCCCTTTGTCAAACTGCTTAAAAAATCTTGCAAGTGAAGAATGATATGAAGTACTTGTTTAACTCCTACCAATGCTCTCTTGGTCCTTAATGGGTCCAACATGTTCGCTGGTTATCCTCTTCCCCTTGATACACTTATGAAGTCTTGGGATTCTCCCTAATCTTACCAACCAGTGTTTTCTCATATTCCCTCTTTGTTTTCCTAATTGCTTTCTTAAATTCCCCCTGTACCTTCAGTCCTCCACTAGGGCCTCTATTGATTTGCTCCCTTTTAACTTGTTAAAGGTTTCTCTTGTCCTTCTTATCCAGTTCTGAAAATTCCTAGACAATCAGGCTTCTCTGGGCTTGTTACTCCTACATTTCGCCCTAAGGGGAACATGTTGGGCCTGTACTTTCACCAATTCCATTTTGAGTCTCATCACTTCCATGGTACCTACCACCTCACACACTTGGCACCTTACTCACTTGGTACCTTACATACCTGGTACCCTAAACAATACTTATATATTCAGCCTTTCAGAACAGCTGTCAAAGATTCTGGCAATGCTGCTGGATGTTTAAATAATAAAATGCATTACACTAACTGCTGCTATAGGAGGCATGATTTGTCTTCCCCTGATATACTGCAGGAGTGGTAATTGTGTGATTTCAGCTAAAGTCTGCATTTCTGAAGGAGAACAGGATTGGAACTCCTAGTAGAGTTCAGTACTATCACAAAAGGAGCAAAGTGACAATCTCGCTGTGATTGCCACTCTTCAGAATATCCAAGCCAATGTCTATCATACCAGTTTAACTGCTATCATGCAATAAATTATATCTTTTAAGAAAAGAGCATCTTCTTGATAATACTAAATAATGTTTGATTCTCTCCCTATTACACCCTTGGACACAGTCAAGAAAAGAGGATTTGTTGCTGAATTCCATAAACAACACAAGTCACCTCATAAGACAGTTCCTTAATCTCAGGAGTTAATCCTCCAATTTTAAGAGAGTTTGAACCCATATATACTAACTTATAGGCAAACGCGCTATCAGATGAACAAGTAGTCATGCCATTAACGCAGCAAACACTCCCAAAGGTCTCACTGTATGCCAGTCTAGGTCTGGGCTATCCAAGGTTTCATTGCCATTCTGTGCTGAAATAACTGTTCTCAGTGCAAATAATTAGGTGACCTACAATTAATCTTGTTCAGTGGTCCTGAGAACAATCAACCAAGACTCTCACTGGTGACTACTAGTCACAGATCCCTGTTATGATGAACATCATGAGCTATATCGTGGGCTAATGGACATTAGATGATGACAGCCACTTTGATTTTCATTACCATCATCACCTCTGCCCCCAGTCCCAATGGTGATATAGCTTGCTGTAACTTCTTATAATTGAAAAATTCATCACTGCTTTTTATCAACGTCTCAGAATGCCAGATATGATCTGGGATATGTTGGGTAGATTCACCGCCACAAATCCTTCTTGCTGGTATAAGTCTAGGCTACTGATACCATGCAGGAATAGATACCCACATGAAGTCTTAGGCACAAGTTCGATCTTAGTTAAACAGAATATGTTTATTACATATTATTTAACAGCTAATTACACTATATATGAGATACTTAAGTGTCTTGTGAAACATCTGGTTCAATTTAAGAGTATGTTCACATTCCAGTTATTAAAACATTGTCATATAGTATCGGTAACCAGCACAGAACCAGAAGCAGAGCTGAACATTGGAGATTTGGTTAGCTCCGTTCAGGAACAGGTCTTCATATTCCTGATGGGCAGAGCTTATCTTGCAATGATAATTAACCATTTCTTAGGTCCTGGCTGTCTTATACAAGACTATTGAATTGGCCTATGAAGAGTATGTCTTTTTTCCCTGCGGGGATACCAGTCGTCATCAAAGATGATACCCTAGCATGGACTTAGAGCCAATTATTGGCTGAAATGTTAAATCTATCTCCATTTCTCCATCAATGCTGCTGATGTGCTGCATATTACACAGCATTTTCTAATTAATAGCAGTATCTTGATATTTGCTCGATAGCTCTCAGGATGAGTCAATATAGTTTGGAGCTGGAGGAACACTCCTGGTCAGGCAGCATTAGAGGAGCAGGCAAGTTGATGTTTCGGGTTTACATGAAGGGCGTAAACTCCACACTGTATTGACTTTGACTCCAGCATCTGCAGTTCTTGCTGGTCAGGATGAGGCTAATTAATCTTTCAGATTAATAATTTTGATTAGTTAATGTTTATATCAGAACACTATCAAAGCTGAATTGAATAAATAAACTTCTACAGTCAAGGCCAGCAATGGTTCAAAGTATTGGGAAGAAGGACAAAACAAGAACAGACATTTCTATAGGACCTTGCACAACTCAGAACATGGTCCAGCTGATCTGAACTGGAAACATTCCTCTTATTATCAGCCAGGTTTCATGTTCATTTTGTTATATGGTGCACCCTTTTTGGAATTTTTTTAATATTTGTTCGTGGGATGTTGATGTCTCTGCCCAGGCCAACATCTATTGCCCATCTTGAATTGCCAGTGGCAGTTAAGAGTCAACTACATTGCTGTGGCTCTGGACTTAGATGTAGGCCAGACCGTGCAAGACAACACATTTCCTTCCTTAAGGACATCAGTGAGCTAAATGGGTTTGCCAACACTGTTACCACGAGGCGACAATTTTATTTCCAGATTTTTAGTGAGTTCAAATTTCATACCTATCATACTGGGATTCGACTCCATGTCACCAGATTATGGAGGTTTGGATTACTAGTCCAATTACTAGTGACATTACCCCAGGACACCACCTCAGCTATATGCCACAAAAAAGATGCTGTTTTAGTTACAATGCTTCTATACAGCAGTTCAAGAAGGTGATTCATACCATCTTCTCAGGCACAATTATGGATGAGCAATAAATGCTGGCCTCACCAATAACAATGACATCTCACGAAAGAAAATAAACAAAAGTTGGGAAGCCTGCTACGATTAACTATCAAGGCTTACACATCAAGAGGCATTTAAAATATTTAAAATGTCAATTACGGTAAGCAAAAAGAGGAACTATTTCTGCTGATAGGGACATCAATAATATGAGGATTAACATTAAACTTGGGAGCTGGACTGATTGGAGCGGAGAGAGGAAAAACTTCTCCACACAAAGCAAAGTGGTATTCCGGAATTCTCCTTCTCAAAGGCTGTGGATACTGGATGAAATTGGAGCCTTATTAGACAGTGATTGTTAGATTTTTGTTGGCTACCCAGATTAATGGACCAAAGGTGAATAAATATAGAGTTGAAAATTAGATCAGCCACAGTGTAATGGAATGATGGTGCTTGAGGGGCTGAATGGTCTTATGCTCTTTCTATGTTCCTAAGATTGAACTGGGTATCAGAATATGTAGAAATATCCCAAAGCACTAATGTACAGCTTCAATGTTAGGACAGGGCTGAAAAAGGGAGAAATAATGTGCAACGATATTTGCACAATAAACAACAGGCAAGATAGATAAACGGATTCAACCAATAAAAGAAAGCTTGCTGCATAGCCAGAGGAATCTTAGCTGCGGTCTAAGAGAAGCAGCAGCATCACTGGAGGATTGCTTCTCGGTCAGACATATTTTGCTTCCTCTGACATGTATCTTTTATAGGTCTTCCTGGTGGAGTATGCTGGCCGTCGGTCTCTCTACATAATAGGCCTGGCAGGGATGTGCTGCTGTGCATTTCTAATGACAGTCGGGCTGGTTTTCCAGGTGAGTGGAGTTGATGCACAGCTACAGAAAGCAAAATCCTCAAACCCACATGTATACAGCTGTAAAAATGTGAAGAAAGAAGTTGTACTATCATAGTGCCATTTGTAGCCTTAGAACCTCCCTATGGGCTTCACAGCCAATGGCAAAACTCTTAAAGTTTATTCACTCACCAACAATACGTTTGGTCCCCCTACAGAGTTTACAGAAAGGTTACTTTTACCCTTTGACCATTGTTTTTAGCTGCTTTTAATTGGGTCTACAACACAGAACTACGAACCTTTCATTTAGTCCAGACATCATTAGAAATTACTTTTGTCTTGAAAGAACTAATATGCCAATCAAAAAGGAAGTTACTTTGTTTTCTTGGCAGTTACTACCCTGTCTACAGAGATGTATACCTGTGAAATAACTGCACAGAGGCCAGTATCATGTCACCACGTCACCATTTATTTACATGTACACCATATATGGGCTAACTCAAAGCCATTACCTAGACTGAGGAGCCCTTCTGACACAACAAGGTGCAGGGCTGGATGAACACAGGAGGCCAAGCAGCATCAGAGGAGCAGAAAGGCTGATGTTTCGGGCCTAGACCCTTCATCAGAAAAGGTGGAGGGGAAGGGGGTTCTGAAATAAATAGAGAGAGAAGGGGAGGCGGATAGAAGATGGATAGAGGAGAGGATAGGTGGAGAGGAAACAAACAGGTCGAAGAGGCGGGGATGGAGCCAGTAAAGGTGAGTGTAGGTGGGGAGTTAGGGAGGGGATAGGTCGGTCCAGGGAGGACGGACAGGTCAAGGGGGCGGGATGAGGTTAGTTGGTAGGAGATGGGGGTGCGGCTTGAGGTGGGAGGAGGGGATAGGTGGGAGGAAGAACAGATTAGGGAGGCGGGGACGAGCTGGACTGGTTTTGGGATGCGGCAGGGGGAGGGGAGATTTTGAAGCTTGTGAAATCCACATTGATACCATTGGGCTGCAGGGTTCCCAAGCGGAATATGAGTTGCTGTTCCTGCAACCTTCGGGTGGCATCGTTGTGGCACTGCAGGAGGCCCAGGACGGACATGTCGTCTGAGGAATGGGAGGGAGAGTTGAAATGGTTCACGACTGGGAGGTGCAGTTGTTTATTGTGAACCGAGCGTAGGTGTTCTGCAAAGCGGTCCCCGATCCTCCGCTTGGTTTCCCCGATGTAGAGGAGGCCACACCGGGTACAGCGGATGCAGTATACCACATTGGCAGATGTGCAGGTGAACATCTGCTTGATGTGGAAAGTCTTCTTGGGGCCTGGGATGGGGGTGAGGGAGGAGGTATGGGGGCAGGTGTAGCACTTCCTGCGGTTGCAGGGAAAAGTGCCGGGTGTGGTGGGGCTGGAGGGGAGTGTGGAGCGGACAAGGGAGTCACGGAGAGAGTGGTCCCACCGGAAAGCAGATAAGAGTGGGGAGGGAAAGATGTCTTTGGTGGTGGGGTCGGATTGCAGATGGCGGAAGTGTCGGAGGATGATGCGTTGG